GGCTTCAATACTTCATCTTTCTAGTTGTTGCTAAATACCATTCCATTGTGGAGACAGTCTTGATTTTGTTTATCTGTTCTGTTGATGGACATTTGGATTGTTTCCATTTAGGTCTTTTTTGAATACTACTGCTTTGAGGGTCCATGTGCAAGTTTTTGTGTGGACATGTTTTTCTTCCTCTTGGGTGTCGTCCTGACTGGTCTCCATTGCCATCGTGACCAGATTAGACTCACCGCAGAGGCATACCTCTGGGCGTATCTATGAGGGTGCTTACAGAACAGTTTTAACTGAGGAGGGAAGCTCTATCCTGAATGTGGACAGCACTATCCCATACTCTGGAGCCCCAGCCTGAATAAACAGGCGGAAGCAGGCAGAGTACAGCTTCCCCCACTTCCTATAGATGAAGGGTGATGACCTGCCTCACATTCCAAGATAAACACCTCCATCAGTTACATGCTGTCAATCCTAGCAACAAGAAAACTGAGGCTTGTGAGAACACAGCCAGATCTGGCAACCTGCAGCTTGGAAGAGGGCCTTCACCAGAACTTAACCATGCTGGGACTCTCACTGATGATTTTTATACTTTCCATACTCCACAACTGTGAGGAACACATATGTTGGGTATAAGTTAACCCCCTCCCCGTGTTTGTGTGTGTGTGTGTGTGTGTGTGTGTGTGCATTCTATGGAACTGCAGGCAGCTTGTGGGACTTGTTTCTCTCAACTACATGTGTTCTGGGGTTGAGAGTCAGACGAGCAGGCTCGGCACATCAAGCGCCTTTACTTATGGAACCATCTTGCTGCTTGTGGTTGCTCATCCCTTATCTCTTTGTTACATCTGCCCAGATGTGCTTTGAGCCTCATGATGTCAGAGTCCATCCCAGCAAGGTTTCTTCAGAGTGTCTAATCACCTTCTGTTGTGACCCTAGTAGTTATAAACAGACAATGTCTGGGCCTGGAGTCCTTCCTTTCTAGGGAACGTTATGTAGCTTTCTTTGGGAACTGAAGAAAATGGAATGTTTTTATGAGAACTTGAAGATCTCAGCCATTTCCCACAGAAGTTCAGGGTAACTCACTGTGGTACTTGGAAAGAGAATGCCCCCCATTGGCTCAGGTATTTGGATACTGGTTCCCCAGTTGGTGGCGATGTCTGGGGAGGTGTGTGAGGCATGGCGTTGCTGGAGGAAGCATGTCTTTTGGAGCAGGCCTTGTGATTAAAAGTCTCTGCCACATTCACCTTTCCCTCCCAGCTTCCTGCTTGTGTTTGAGGATGTGAGCTCTGTTCCTGATGTCATACCTGTAGCTTGCTACCATGCCTTCCTACCAAGATGCTTGCTTGCTTATCTCTCTGGAAAAATTTTCCTTCTATGAATTGCCTTGGTCATGGTGTTTTATCACAGTAATAGAAAAGTGCCTGGTGTGCTGTTTGAGGCCTGGATGCCTTTGTGGATGAGTGGGGTCCCCAGAGCATTGGCCTGCTACTCACAGGGTCCAGCTGTGCTATATACCATCCTCTGGGCAGCTGTGGAGGATTCACAACATTCTTTTATACCTCTAAATGGCTTACAGAACATGTTGACATTAATATAGGTGACTCTGTGAATTAGTGAAGGAGGAGCTCATTTTATTCTTTAAAGATATTTATTTATTATCTATACAGTGTTCTGTCTGCATATATGCCTGCAGGCCAGAAGAGGGCACCAGATCCACAATAGATGATTGTGAGCCATGATGTGGTTGCTGGGAATTGAACTCAGGACCTTTGGAAGAGCAGGTAATGCTCTTAACTTCTAAGCTATCTCTCCAGCTCCAGCTCATTTTAAAGAAGGTGACTTTTGTTTTGTTTTGTTTTTTTAAAGACAGGGTTTCTCTGTATTGCTTTGGAGCCCATCTTGGAACTAGCTATGTAGACCAGGCAGGCCTTGAACTCTCAGAGATCTGCCTGCCTCTGCTTCCTAAGTGCTAGGACTAAAGGTGTGTGCTACCAACACCCGGCTAAGAAGGTGACTTTTAATAGGGTAAATTTAAAATTCTAGATATTCTGTTTGAGAAGATATGTATGTATGTGTCGAGTCCATGCAGACTGGGTTGGCTCCTATGAGTTCCTATGTGTATTATCAGTTCGGAGTGGTGGGGTACAGAGAGCCAAGCCATGGACTCTAGCATGAGCTAACTAAGGCTAAGGTTGTAATCTCCCTACCTGTTTAGTTTTGGGACGTTTACTCAGCTTACTAGTTTGTGCCCTAGTGTCTCTATCTATAAAATGAGGACATAAGAGTACTACTTGCCTTGTCTGGCTTGCTGTGAATGTGATACAGGGTCCATACGCACATGCTGACAGACCCATGATGAGTTAGTGTCAACCTGTGTGGTGGCCGCCTTGTTCCTGTGATTCTGTGTGGTCTGAGGTCCTGTAGAAACAAGTAGAGGACCCATGGCTCTGGGTCCCCCACGTTCTTCCATGGATGTGGGCAGCTGAGCACTGTAATCTAGAGGTATGTCTGGGCTGTGCCAGAGGTTGAGAGACTCTAAAGGGATTATGACACTATGCTAGAACTAAAGATTCCTTTAATCCTATGTAGTTTCCTTTGCAATTGTAGAGTCATGGTCAAAGGAAAAAAAAAATCTGTAAACATGTCTTCACTGTTTTCTTGAGGTGCTTCAGAATTTGTTTGTGACTTTGAAAAACACTCCAGTGGACCAACATGTAATCTGTGGAATAAGGATAATTGCTATTTTATGAAAAAAAATTTCATTATGGATCCATGTACTGAGTGCTGGGTTACCATGCAGAACATATTCTTCATGGAGTCGTATAATTCAGTGTCTGAGGATACTCTTTATGCAACATGTATTCCAGGCTGGCCTCACTAAGTAACTGAGGATACCCTTGAATTTATGGTCATCTGCCTCTACCTCCCGAGTGCTGGGATTACAGTGGCCGGTACATGATAGGCAAGCTCTCTATCAATTGAGCTACGCCCTACCTCCTTAGCAGTAATTGTTTTAATTTTTAATCAATTAACTAGAGTCTCTATGTAGACCAGCTGACCTCAAAATCACAGACAGTTGTGAGCCACCATATGGTTGCTGGCAACTGAACCCAAGTCCTCTGGAAGAGCAGTCAGTGCTCCCAACCACTGAGCCATCTCCCCACTCCTATCCTTGGTCTTCCAATCCCTTCCATTGTCATTGGATCAAAGGTCTGAGTGGATAATCCAACATGATTTTTTTTTGTGGGGGGGAGGGGATTCCAGACAGGGTGTCTCTGTGTAACTTTAGATCCTGTCCTGGAACTTGCTCTGTAGACCAGGCTGGCCTCGAACTCACAGAGATCCACCTGCCTCTGCCTCCTGAGTGCTGGGATTAAAGGCATGCACCACCACCACCCAGCCCAAGCTGATGTTTTTATGACTGTTAGGACTGCAAAGCTCCTTGTCTACTAGGCATTTGTGCATGAACTTCCTTCTTTTGGACACAGGGCTCCTTCATTTTCCTGCAGTAAGTGGAAAATGAACTGTTGGTCTCTGTAACCTCCAATGCTCCTCCACTCCCCTTCACTGTCCTACCTGAAGAAAGCTCCCCAAGTGGACAGTCCTGCAGAACCTGAGTCTGGAGCTGGAAGAGCATCAGGTGATAGCTGAACGAGCACACGTGAGATTAGGGAAAGTCAGGAGAGGTCTACTGTCTTCCTTGGTACATGAACAATGTACAGGTATTTATTTCCTCATAGTAAGGGCCGCCGGCTCACGAAGAAAGTAAAATTTCTTTAGTGCCCTCGCCTCCTCCTTCCAGCCCATGAGTGCATACAGGTTGGGGCAGGATGAAGAATGGGCGTCCAGCCACTGTTGGTGGGTTCTGTTGTACTTTGCTTTCCACAGGAGCTCACCATGTCACCCAGGCTGGTCTCCAGTTCCTAAGTTAAAACAATCGCTTCCCCTCAGCTGTCTAAATAGCTGAGCCTCATAGGGCATGTGCTCCCACGCCCAGGTTCATCTGTGGTTCTGAACGACCAAGGGGACAAGCACCCTGAGTTAAAGCTTGCTGTTACATGCTTGAAAGTCAAAGTCAGAGCACACATCATGTGTCATCAGGTCAGCGATACTAAAGGCTTGCCTGCCAACTGAGCTCTGTGGGAGGGTGTTTATAAAGCCAGCACAGAGGTGGGAATTACCTACCCAAATGCTTTCCCATTATAGTAGTGTATTTCTTGTGGGTGGACAAGGGGATGCCCCTGTGGTCGTGGAATCTCCCTAAGCTGGTCTCTGGAATAGGGCATGGCTGACAGCCAGGCTGGATTCTTGCTTAAGGCCAGAGTAGTATAAATGGACAATGAGAAGAGCTGGTGGTAAGGCAGGGCTTCTGTCTGATACCCTAGAACAGTGGCTCTCAACCCCATGGGGTCATCACCCCATTGGGGGTCGGTTGACTCTTACACAGGGGTCACATATCAGGTAATGTGAATATTCATAACAATAGCAATGAAAAATTTCTGGTTGGGGATCACCACAGCATGAAGAACTATAGTAAAGGGCCGCAGCATTAGGAAGGTTGAGAACCACAGCACTAGAGATTCTGGAAGAGTTATTACACGATTCCGGACTGGTTTTTTTTCTTTTAACTAACTGATCTATTATAGACTGCAGATGGATGTGTGATTAAATAACAGAACTAATGAGTGTAGCTATTTTTAAAAAATAAATTGAAATACTCTCATCCTAAAAGTAGTGTTCTACATGTAACCCCAAACGTCTACAGTTAAAACAGTCTCATCTCTGGGCCTGAAGATGTAGTTTAGTGATATAATAATTGCCTAGCATGCACAAGAATTAGAATTCAACTGTCGGCAACCTGCTCTGTCTAATACTTAATGAAAATATTATTTGCAATCCTCTGGTAGTATCTGTCTGTGTTGGTCCTTGAAAGTTTTCATTTAAGCAAAGCATACCTGTTGTTGGACCATTTATCTCAGTAATGACACTGCTCTGCCTTCTTTGTACAGGACCCAACAGTAAAGGAAGAAGTCTTATCGGCAGATTGAACACCCCACCTCCAATCTCTGGGGAAGGAGTTACAGTAGAACCAAGCTTTTCCATCGATGAGTTCTCTACATCTGTCCTCACCGGGAAGCTGACTACTGTTTTTCTTCCGGTCATCTACACCATTGTATTTGTGATTGGTTTGCCCAGCAATGGCATGGCTCTCTGGGTCTTCCTTTTCCGGACAAAGAAAAAGCACCCTGCTGTGATTTACATGGCCAATCTGGCCTTGGCAGACCTCCTGTCTGTCATCTGGTTCCCCCTGAAGATTGCCTACCACCTACATGGCAACAACTGGATCTATGGGGATGCGCTTTGCAAGGTGCTTATTGGCTTTTTCTATGGTAACATGTACTGCTCCATCCTCTTCATGACCTGCCTCAGCGTGCAGAGGTACTGGGTGATAGTGAACCCCATGGGGCACCCCAGGAGGAAGACAAACATCGCCGCTGGTGTCTCCCTGGCAATCTGGCTCCTGATTTTTCTGGTCACTATCCCCTTGTATGTCATGAAGCAGACCATCTACATTCCAGCCTTGAATATCACCACCTGTCATGACGTGCTGCCCGAGGAGGTACTGGTTGGGGATATGTTCAATTACTTCCTCTCCCTGGCCATTGGAGTCTTTCTGTTCCCAGCCTTACTTACTGCATCTGCCTATGTACTCATGATCAAAACACTCCGTTCTTCTGCCATGGATGAACACTCGGAGAAAAAAAGGCGGCGGGCCATCCGACTCATTGTCACCGTCATGGCCATGTACTTCATCTGCTTCACTCCTAGCAACCTCCTGCTTGTCGTGCATTATTTCCTAATTAAAAGCCGAGGCCAGAGCCACGTCTATGCCCTCTACCTTGTCGCCCTCTGCCTGTCAACCCTCAACAGCTGCATTGACCCCTTTGTCTATTACTTTGTTTCACAAGATTTCAGGGATCATGCCAAAAATGCACTCCTCTGTCGAAGCGTCCGCGCTGTGAATCGCATGCAGGTATCCCTCACCTCCAACAAGTTCTCCAGGAAATCCAGCTCTTACTCTTCAAGTTCAACCAGTGTTAAAACCTCCTATTGAGTGATACCTGAGCCTGCTTAGTGGTGTGTGTGCTCGAGGGGTGGGGATGCAACGACAAGGGGCTGTCACTTTCTAGCCAAGCTGGTCTCAGCACTGGTCACAAGCATGGACATCCGTATCAGAACTCTGCTACTCTGATGTCCCGGAAACTGAACGGACATGGAGGGATGAGAAGGCAGAAATCCAGTGACTTGCAAAAGCTACACCCGGCAAGAAGAAATCGCTAGCTGAAGCGATTTCTTCTACATCTGGCCCATCACAGCTTTGTGAGGACCTGAAGCCCTCGTAGAGCTTCAGTCTAGTTGACTGACTCTTCAGATGTGGGCGATGAGGAGACTAACTGTGAATGAAGTTCCTCTCCAGAATTCTAACCAGCAACAGTGAGCCTGCACTGGGCAATAGAATCCAAATGCCCAGTGGTTACTGTCTCACACAATTTCATCAATAGCTCGGGGGGGGGGGGGTCTCTCAGCTTCAGTAACCAGAGCTCAGATACGAGGGGGCCACTCTGCAAACCTCAATGGTGTCTGAATGCACAGAACCATGGAGCTGAATGCTGCTTCTGCCCACCAGGACGCCAAAGGAACCTTTGAAAAGGAAAACCAATAGAAATGTGTTGGGCCTCTTTATGGTCAGTTTATCATGAAATTTGCCTATTGGTTTATTGGGATTTTTGGTTCCTTTATTATTCCTTTGTGGTTTTGTATGTCTATTAGTCGAGAAAAAGAGAATGAGGAACTTCGACATGTAAAGACAAATTTTGTATAATCTTTTTTACTTATGTCAGTGTGGGTAATGGAGCATTTTGCCAACTGCAAATGACATTTACCAGTTAGTGGTTTTTTTTTTTTTTTTCCTCTAAGTTACTTTTTAAAACTTAAGACATTTTTAAAAGTCATTTTCATAATAACGCATCATTATAATGCCAGTTTCCCCTCCCCCACACCTCCTTTCCCTCCTACATACCCCCTGTTACTTTTTCTCCCTCTCCACCAAATAGCCCTCTGTCTGCTCTCAGGTACTACTTAGTATGTTTTGAAAACCATTGTTGGAATATTTATTGTCAGCTTTGTTCACCTGTTCTCAAATATGGAATTAAAGCCTGTATATCTGTTTGGAAAAGAGCACAAACAAGAGGCTACAACCATTGTATAGGTACATGACTCCAGACTTACGCTATAGACTGGCTGTATTTGTGGCTTTAAAAGTTATTTTGTTGTGTGACTGATGTATAAATAATACATGGACTTTTAAAAAAAAATGTCTTTCCGGCTGTGTGTTTATTTGGGTGAAGGAGGGTGAAGAAGGGAAAATCCTGCCATTCTAGACATGGTGTGATTTCCCCCACACACACACACACACATACACATACCCGCTTTTTACAGTTGCTTTTGGGTTTCTCTGTGTAGCTCTAGCTGTCCTTGAAATCACTCTGTAGACCACCAGACCACCTGCCTCTGCCTCCCAAGTGCTGGGATTAAACACCTCGACTGACCAGTTTGTTTTAAATACATGCCTAGGGATCTAAACCTGGCCTCACACTATTCTTTTTTTTTTTTTCCTACTTTTCATTGATTGATATATTTTTAATTTTTAAAGGTTATAGACCCTTGAATAGTTCAGCTATATTACAGTGTACATAGTCATTTCCCTACTAGGTGGCCCCTTGAATTGTGCTGTCCCATGCTGTTTTCTTTTTGGCTATTTCAACATTATTGCATTGTACATCTGTGTATAGACATCATCAAGATTCACTTTATTTTTTTTTTGAGCCCTGACACTTGCTACATAAGCCACGCTGGCCCCTTAAAAGCACAGATCTGCTTGCCCCGCCTCTGGAGCTGGTAGTGAGGGCATGCACCACCACTGCTAGGCAGTTCTGCTGCTTTTCCCATAGGTTGGAAGGCTCTGGTCTTGAATTAGACCCTTGGTAGAGACAGAAAGTGCCGTGCAGAGACACCTTGGATGTGGCTGTCTTTTCTTTCGTGGGCAGCACTGTACCCATGATTTGTATGGAGGATTTGAGTCTTAACTGAGAATAAACATTCCGTACTTCTCGATTCATTTACTAAGAGGGCCCTTCATTTGAAAGCAAATGAGGACTTGTCTTGCTGTTCAGGTCAAAATGTGCAGCTGACTTCACCAGAGTGATTTTCCTGAACATTTCCTTGTATTATTTTAGTTATTTGTAGCAGGAGTTTCCAAGTTGTAATTAATTTCCTGGTTATCAAGATTTCATAAACCCTGGGGTTATAATCTTATCTGCATGCATACTTCAGTGATTACAACTTTATTTCAGAAGCTTTAACCCTTAGAGATTCTGGAAAGAACTAGAATATAGTAGTGTCAAGGGTAGTCATTGTTAGCCCTTGAGTTTGACTGGAGAGCTTGGCTGACTTTTAGAAGTGAATTTTATCTGGGCATGGTGTAACATGCCTTTAATTCCAGCACTTAGGAGGTAGAGGTAGGCAGGTCTCTGTGAGTTCAAGGCCAGCCTGGTCTACAAAGAGAGTTCCAGGACAGCCAGGGTTACATACAGAGAAACCCCATCCCAAAAGAAGAAGAAAGGAAAAGAAGAAGAGAAATGAGGTTCTAGTGTTTATCCAGTGATCCCCCTGGACCCCAGGACAAAAGGGAAAACATCCTAGAGATCAGGAATCAAGACTCTCCGTGTCACTCAAGCCTGGAGATCTCACAGAGAGATATTTCTTTATAAAGTGGGGTCACTGGGTGCACACCTAAGAAATGCTATTAATGAGGGAGTGTGCAGGCTTCTGTGGTTTGGGTCTGAGCTACTCATGTCTCTCCCTGTTGGTAAATCCTGGATTATTTCCAGGCTGTTTTTTTACTGGAGTTTATTCCTGTCCAGAGTTGTGAGGCATCTTCTGTAAAAACCACAGACAGCCTGTGGGCTCCTTCCAGAGTTACAGCCAAACCATCATCACCCAGAAGCAGTGGGAATGGTTCATTTGTCCCACAACATGATGGCATCACCACAGTATTAACTGCAAACACTTAAGTCAGGGCTCCTACCTGAGCATCAGTTCAGTCTTGAGGTTGATATTCTCAGCGAATACACGAATACTAAAAAGAAGGGCTAGAGATAGCTCTAGGCTTAGAGGTGCAAAGTGCTTATTGGAGAGGTCCAGGTTTTGATTTTCAACACCAACACTGGGTGACTCAAAACCACTGGCAAGTCCAGTGCCTGGGGATCTAATGTCCTCTTTTGCTCTGGCATACATACGCAGGGCACATAAAATTCATGGGATACAATTCATAATTAAAAAACAAACAAACAAAAAACCCAAAGAATTCAGCTCCTTAGAATTTAGGCTACTCTGAGGCCTTTAAAATATTCTACTCCAAAGCTGAGGTTTGAGAATGGTATTAAGTCAAGAAGACAAAAAGAGCTGCTGAGTGTAATGGCAAACACCTTTAATCCCAGCACTCAGGAAGCAGAGGCAGGCAGATCTCTGAGTTTGAGGCCAGCCTGGTCTACAGAGCGAGTTCCAGGACAGCTAAGACAATTCAGTGAGACCCTGTCTGAGAAACAACACACACATACATATACAAAAAGCAAACAAAAACAGGGCTATGGAGGGTATGTAAATTTCTCAGACTGTAGAGCTATTTAAGTACTTGAGTAGGAAGCTTGGCTTCCCTTTTTGGTGAGGCAGCATGAAGTTATTTTACTACTTCTTTAAAAGGCTATCATGGGGGTTGTGGTGTTTGTTTGGTTGTTGCTGGTGGTTTGTTTTTGAAACAGGGTTTCTCTGTGTAACAGCTCTGGCTGTCCTGGAACTCACTTTGTAGATCAGGCTGGCCTTGAACTTACAGAGATCCCTCTGCCTCTTCCTCCTGAGTGCTGCGATTGAAGATATGCACCCCCATGCCCCACCACAGAAGTTATGTGGGTTGTGGATTGCCAAGGAAAGGCAAGAGAGAGTAACAGTTGAGAGTGATCCAAACAAGAGTTGACATTGGCTGGGACAATAACTGATGGAAAGGGAGGAGGCCAACTGGGTTACATTTTGGAGATAATATCAGCTGATACTAAAAAAGGAGTATTAAAGAGTGTACTTAAACCTTTTGCTTGGGGATGATGGTGAAATACTTAGGTGTGAGCAAGTTTGGAAGTTGAAAATTAAGCGTCTTGATTGTAACATAATCTTAAATGTCTTGGCCAGTTTTCTATTGCCACAACAAAATACTCGAGGCACTGTGCTTTATAAAGAAAAGAGGTTTACTTAGCTCACAGTTCTGGAGGTCAAAAATCCAAATTTAGCCAGCTCAATTAATTCAGCCTCTGTAAGGGCCCAGGGTGGATGGTGTCATAATGGCAAGGGGGTATACTATACAAAGATATGGTAAGACAAGACAGAGATTCAGGGATCAGACCCCTATTTCTATAACAAACTACTCTTGTGGGCACTAACCATGGTCCTGCGAGAACTGTATTAATCCTTTCTGAAGCTGGCACCCTCAATAACCCAATCACCTTCCACTTGGCTCCCACATCTCAAAGGTTGCATTACTTTTCAGCACATTGCCACACGGAGGGCTGAACCTCAGGCACCCAAACCTCCAGGGGGACACACTTAACCATATTCCAACCATAGCACCAAGTCTGAGATGTCTACAGACATCTAAGCAGAAGAGGCATTTGGAATCAGTATAAGATTTTTTTTTTCTTTAAAAAAACAAAAAAAAGATTGTCTCAATGTGTGCAGTGCCCACGGAAGTATAATGAAGTTATATATAGTTGTGATCTGCCATGTGGGTGCTGGGAACGGAAGTCAGAACAATAGCAGCCAGTGCTCTTAGCCACTGAGCCCTCTCTCCAGCCCCCCATGTCTATTTTTCAAACATTTAATTTTAATTTTTTTAAAGACATTTTTTTTTCTCTGTGTAATAGCCCTGGCAGTTCTGGAACTTGTTTTGTAGACCAAACCGGTCTCAAACTCACAGAGATCTATCCACCTGCCTCTGCCTCCCCAGTACTGCTGGGATTAAAGGCATGCACCACCACACCCGACCTATTTTAATTTAATTTTATGCATGCATGTCTGTATGCATGTCTGCTAAGGCCACAAGAGTAGTTAGAGATTGGAGTTATAGATATGGGTAGTAGTGAGCTGCCATGTTGGTGCTGGAAATTGAATTCAGATCCTCTGGGAGCGTAGCCAGCGTTCTTAGCTGCACAGCCATCTTCCCAACCCCAAATATGTGTGTATTTTTATACATGCTGTGAAATACACCGAGCTTCCACCGTTCTCAGTATTTACCAACATGAAATTAAAGTTTGGGTGTAATGATCATGCAGGACTGTGGGCAACTGGAAGACCGGAAGCTGTTTGCTTCATAGTTTAGGTAGCCTTTATCTGTCACTCCTTCCCACCAAGGCATGGTGGGTAGTGTCACAACTGCAGAGGGAATGCAGAAGAGAC